GGCACTTCAGCAATAGCTGGAGAAGAAGCAACGACAGGAGTAGGGATCACCACAGGAGTGACGACAGTAGCATCAGTAATAGTTGCAACCATAGAAGTAGCAGCAGCGACGTCCTCCTGACCATGAAGGAAGTCCATAATAACGTCCATGTTAGTTTGGAACTGATCCATCCGACCTTGAAACTGAGCCAAATTCTCCTTGTAGGCAGCGTTCTCTTGTTCAATATCAGCCATGATCCTAGTCTTGTTTGAGCGAGTGAAATAGTGATGTCGAGTCGTCGTCTTGCTACAAGGCATGATGGACAGTATAAACACGTGGTTTCCGGATGAAGGACACGCATATGAATATGATTGGATGCAAAGTATGCAAAAATAGAGTTTTTAAATTCCAGGAATTTGTGAGCTTTATCTTTATTAGCAATAATCATAAAGCATATGAGTAAAGGAACAAAGATAAATTGACAAGAGAAAAACTCTGTTCAAATCAACGAGATAAAGAAGTAAAAGCTCCAATACAACTTAAATAGCTGCCTTTTAGGCTACAATAAGATCAGCGTGAACCCTATCAAATATAACCCTACAAACAGACAAGAAGTGGAAAACAACCCAAAGAGTCTGGTGTGGCAACACATCAGCATAAGCATCCCTCAACAATCCTGGTAAGTCCTCCAATGCATGCTCGATAAATCTGGCTAGACGGCCATGCCTCTTATTCCAATACTTAGCATCCTTCATGAGGTTGCGCAATAAAGAATGATTAGGTCCCTGCAGAAGATCCTGCAAAAATGCCTCCTTCTGATCCAAGAGGACTTGGAGATGCCGGCTCTGACGCTCCCAATGAGTGTTCTCCAAGTGAGACTGACTAATTTCCTCTCGGCTCTGATGTATCTGATCTTGTAGCTCCTGGACATTATTGAAGACTTTGTCAAGCTCAGCTTGAGATTGAGAAAGGTCTTTCATAAATTGGTTAGCACGATCCTGTTTACTCTGCACCTTTGTCTTGTACTCTGATGATTTTGCTCGAAGATCTGCAAGTTGCTTCTTATAGCTCAACTCATCCTTATGGGCTTGATACTGAGCATCGGCAAGTTGTCTCTTCTTTGAAGCAAGTCCGTTGTAAGTACTCTTCAAAGCATGACCTACTTTCCGACGTTTGTTCTGCTCAAACTCTACCTCTTTGCTCATGAGCTCTCTCTTCTAGCGAAGATCTATCTATAAGCTTCCCTTAGCGGATGTGACTTTGTCGAGGTTGAGACGAAGATCAGCATTCTCCTTCTTTAATTTCTCAATAACCTACTTAAGTTGATCAACTTTGGAAGGAGGAACAATGGTAAGTTCAGGAAACTTGACATGCACAAAAGACTTGGAAGGAAATGGTAGCAAAGTCGCTTGAACTCGTTCCTTGACCCGTTGTGTGTAGGCTTCTTTCACAATGCAATTCTTCATACCCAACTCATCTCTACCCTCGCGGTGAATGTGTACCCATGCAGCATTGAATCTCTTCAACAAACCCATGTCATCAACCCCTTCATGAAAGATGAATTCTTCCACTACCTCAGGATCTGGTTTATCAAGCATCGGATATCCCAACTGACGAAAGGCAGGCCTCGGATTATAGTTAATTCCATCTTTTGTATCCTAGAGAGGTACATTAGGGAATTTACCACAACGAAGAATGATCTTGGTACAATAGTAGGCTCGAGAGTACCAAGAGATGTCATCAGCAGTAAGAGACATGATCCTCTGAGACCATTTGAAATCGCCATTATTCTCCACAAAAGGACCCTTATATGGCAGATGAGACATGAACCATCGATACATCATAGGAGCACAACATACAATAGTTCCTTTCTTCTTGTCATTCCGGGAATAAATAGAATAATAAGTATCAATAAGAAGTGTAGGAACATGATTCCTGGACAAAAAGATACTGATGGCAGCCTGATCAACGAAATCCTCCATGTTCGGAAACAAGACGATCCCATATATCAGTAAAGCAAACACGGCGTTAAAAGCCTTTCAGCTTCCCACTTCAGTAAAAGAAACGGTCTTATTGTCGTGGTGAAATTTGATACCAAACTATTGATTAGTTTGAATCTTTAATTCAATTTGCAACCGAACTTTGATTTGTCCAAAGGAAGGGATAAAGATCGAAATTCCCACAATGCAATGCAAATGCAAGCTAGATTGTTTTAGGTTCGGGGGTTGATTAAACTTAGGGAAGGTGCTAGCATCCTAAGTTTCTGTAGTACTCTACAGGAACCTCTTGTTTTATGTTTGTTTATTGCTAAGTGTTATCTGCTTAGGGTTTAAAGACCTAGGGGTTTATTTCTAAGTATACTCGATAAGATGTTGCATCTTATGCCTACATATCCTTACGGGAGTGGAATCAGAGTATTTGTAGTTCCCCTAAAGGGTTAGAGAAGATCTTTGACTGTGGTCAAAGTTCCTACGGGTTTAGGGTAGTTGTTTTGATTGGGTTTAGGAGAAGAGATGAGTCTTCATTTTAAGGGAGGTATAACCGCCACAAGTGTAAAGGGGGTTGTAGGAAAATAGTCTTTGCATCGTCTTAAGAAAAGGGCTTAAGTACTCGGATTGTTTGACGAGTATGCCTTTATCACTCTTAAGGCAAAGTTCCTACATGTTTGATTGTATTATTGTGGGGGTGGAGATTATATCTCGCTTAAGATGATTAACATCTATTCTCTAATGTTGAATAAGTTTGAAAAGTTGTATAGTGTTGTTTGTTTGTCTAAGTTGTAGAGATAATGGTCCTTCCTATGGGGTAGGATCTACCTTAAGCGATCAACTTGAAAGGAATCAAGGATCGTGGGGAAATGATGCAAATGACGTGCACTACACACAAGTGTTGACTCCTGTGTAGGTTTTTTCATTGGACGAAATGCGATGCGATAATGTAAATGCGGTAATGTAAATTGCTCGTAAGATAAATTGCGGAAATGATAAAGCATACACATACGCATGAAAGCGTTGAAGTGTGTGAGAGTGAATGTGTCGTGAGTGTGAGTGTGTGCGATTGATTATATGTTACGTTGTGCTTGATTTTATGCGAGGTTGATTTTTGTGAAAAGAGTTATTTGATTATTAATAGTGAGGTGGACTAATTTTATGAGAAAAATATATTATGTTTGTAGCGAGATTAGTTGAAAAGTTGCGATTAATGTGAATTGATTTGTGGGAAAAAGCTATTAATTTTAGATCAAGAGTTGATTTTAAGTGATGAAGATGAAAAAAAGTCTGAATTAATTTTATTAGGAAAAAAAAGGTTTTAGATGTTGGTTGATTTTAGGCGAGAAGTGGTACTTGATTGTTAATGGTGAGATTGGGTTTATAAAAAGATTAAATTAATTAGTTTTAAAATTATAAATTGATTAGATTTTAAATAGGATAATTTTAATTGAATGAGGACTTATTCAAATAAGATAAATTTTAGTAAATGAGAAAAAGTTATAATAACTTTTAATCATGAATTTAAGTTGTAAGTTGATCTATTTATTTATTTTTTTTTAAACATTTTAGTTATTATTATTAAATAAAAATTAATTAAGTTATAAAATGTTTCCTTTTTAAATGAACTAACCAAAATCATTGTTTAATAAAGAGAGGTTAATAAGTTGTTTAAAAAAAATGGATGGTTAAAAATAAAGTTGAATTATCTAGTCAATTAGTTAAATGGTTAATAAAAGATTTAGTTGCTTAAGAAGTTGATTAGAGAGAATATTAAATAGGTTAACTAAATGATTTTAGGTGAATAATTAGTAACTAAGTGGCAGGTTAAATGGTTTTAAGTGGGATTAAAAGGTCAATTAGTGGGCGGCTGATTGCATGCGTGTGGGTGCATCGTATTACCATAGAGATGCGATATAGGTCGCGTGATGTGTGATGAAGGGTGGTGACTGTGGCGGTGCATCGTGCGGACCGTGTGCGTGCGTTATCAGATTACAACAGATAAAAAAAAACTAAACTAAACAAAACCCTAATCCCAATCGATTTCCCCCTTTTTCCGATCGTCTTCTTCTCTCCTCCGCTATTCAAACTCGGCGTCGTTCATCACTTCTTCCTGCATCTCTCAATTTTCTTTCATTTTATTTTTGATCGGTGATTACTTCTTTCGTCTCCTCTCGACTTCTCCTTCTTCTGCTTTCCTCGCTTTTTATTCTCGCTTCTACACAGGTCACACAAAACAAATGAGATCGTTAAAGTGTTAGAGAAAGAGGTATCTCACGATTATTGGCTTCCTCGCAGGCGTGGTGACGATGGTGGACGAAGAGGGTTTTGAAGGTGATTCTGCGATGACGAAAGGTGATATGCTTAGATAAGTTCAATCTCTTTTCCATTTTTGTAGATTGTTCAGTCGTGGTATTAGGGATTCCATCGGTGGTTGTGTATGCTCTAATGTTTTTTGGATGACAATTTCAGGTTCTTGAGGTTGAAGTCGTGGAAGTTTTTTTTGCCGGTTCGCGGTGGAGTTTATGTGAAGGTTGGTGTTTCAGCGGTGGGCTCGAACACAATAGAGATAAGTTCCCTCTATGATTCTTAGGTTTTAGTTGGGGATTTCTGCGATTTACCGTTTGTGGTTTTTCTGACCCTGTTTGTGGATTGCTTCCCCTTTCTTATAGCTTCACAGCTTCTTCCTCTAATCAATCTCAATGAATGCGCTTTCCAAATTCGTAAGGACAGGTCTGGCTCGTTTTGGGAACTAAATGAATTCGTATTGATTTCACTTTGGGGCCTGTTTTGGAGGTATTTGGGTTGTGTCCGATTTTGTTTTGGGAAGGCATTAACGTTTCCTCTTTCTTTTGCAGGAGAACACTCATTTCCGTTTCCGTCCTAAGGTGTTTGCTAATTTCTTCAAGGAGAAAATACAGGGTATTAAACATGGGTGAGGATGTTCGATTACGTCTTTATTTGTTTTGGGAAACAAAACAACTCTGTCTTGAACTGATTTTCACAATTGTGTTTATTTTCAGTTCGCGATTAATGGATGCAAATGCAACGGTTTTGAGACGAACATCAGGGTTTGGTGGTTTTGTTGTGAAAGGAAATTGTGTCGTATTTTGCAGGAAACTGAAGGTTGTTGTTCTACAAAGTGCGAAGCTCCCAATTGGCCAAAGACGGTTTCCATGGGTATTTTGCCGAGGTTGCTCTTAACAATACGTTCACGTTTAGCTTGCTAACTCACTCTGATGAACTGAATTTGAGTTTGCAGGGAATCCCCTTGGTAATGGCGGGTGGACCGAACATTCTCAGAGTATGTTGTTTGGATGGAAGGTTCCGGATCTGGGAGGGGATTTCGCAGCCGGTTACACCAAGATGGAAAACCTCTTCTCTTTAAGTTGGATCAACACTAACAGTTGGTGTTCTCATGGCCATTTCCCGTAAGTCATGTCGTGAGTAGTTAGTGATGCTTTGGTGAATATTGGCTTAATTGACTTGACAGTTATGATGCTCATGCTTGAATCATTTGATGCAGGCTTGCTGGACTTTTGCTGCCATAACCGGACCTGGATGCTTAAACGGTGTTGCGCTGGTACGAATCTTTAGTTGCAGAACTGTGAGTTCATTAGTGAGTCATTTGGCCTAAGCTGATGCGGGTTCATAATCCCTTTTACAATTGTCTCTACATGCTCACAGCTGCCCAAGGATCAAAATGTGGGAAACCTCGCTGTGGCAAGTGCTGTCAAAAGACGACCTCTAACTCTAATGAGTATCATGCGACAATCGCTCCGGCAACCTCTTGCAAATATCAAAGTCCAACATGTCGTGGATGCGGGTTTTTTTTTTAAGGAACTCAGAAACTGGTTCGTATCCTTGAAGTAAACTCATTTTGATTTTCTTTGACCTGCCCTGCTTTTGATGGTGCTGGTTCACTTTAACAAGGTTGGAAGTTTGGAGTTGGCTAAGGAAACAGTCTTGTACCAGATGATCGATGTTGCTGCCTGCTCACCATATCTGTAGCTTGTGTTGGACTGTGGTTATAACTTTTTGATAACTTTCCTTTCTTTCCTTGCTTGATCAGTATTCGTTACTCTCGGTCTCATTTCGAATTACTTTATTAATTTCTTTTTTTCTTATCTTAACAGTTGTTGTTAATTGGACCATTGCTACTGTTACCGCACCGAAGGTTGATGACGGGGTAGTCGAATGTTCAGGATGTCGCCTCCTTCGACCTTGCTGTGAAATGCTTTGAAGATTACCGCAGGCTCTTAATTGCTGACATATTGTGACTGCCTTCAATGAGCACTTGATGAATTCATGATGACTCCTCTTCTTGGTTTTTTCATGTAGGTCATTGTCTTCTAATGGAAGCTGAGAGATGCCGAAGACACAAATGGAGAAGCTTGTAGTTTCTTTGGTGTGAGCTGTCGTTTACGGATGGAATTCGTTGAGAAGAAAATACCCTCATCCATGGGAAACCGGTAAAGGCGACAAGGTACCAGGACCCTCCTCTCACACTTTAAATAGATTCACAGCCTCTTCTTGAGCTTCTGCTGATCGGTGTTATTCCGAACTTTGGCCACTCGACATAACCGTGGTAATGCCGGGTCTATTATGGATTGCGTCTAATCACTACATTGGAACCTTCAGGTTGAGAGACTGTAACAGTAGGTTCGCCGCAGATTTTAACGGTGAAGACAAAACCGATGCAGGTCAAGAATGATGCCTTCGGATTGCTAGCAAAACAAGGCTCCATAGGTTATGGTTTTAACAGCCCCATACAAAGATTTCGATAGGTAACTGCCAGCTTGCCTAAAGTTTCCAATTTCAATCTTCAAAACTTCTTTGCATTTGTTTTTGACCCTTTTCCTCACTTTCACCAGTTGATGTTATGCTTGCAAATGTTCGGAGTGGCATCCTTAACTGGCGAATGGAGCTCCGGGCTGACGGCGCGCTTTGGAATCGAATGTGCTTTGTAGCAGACTTTCATGATCCTGATTTTTCTTGTTTTGTCATTGTCCACTTGTTTGCTAGATTAAACTTTGAAAATTGTAACTGTAACCTTGTAGTGTTTGAACAAATTTGGTGAACTTAGATGACTGAATTCCTTTTATCCATTGATTGGACTGGTATAATGTCACCATTCTTTGCAACTTAGAGTGCTCAATACAATTAGGCAATAATCTTGTGTTGGCCTTGCTGTGAATTGCTGAAACCAAAATATGGGTGTCTTCTAGATTTGGATAACAGGAAACTATGCTTCTTAGAAGGAAGCCTATAATAAGGTCCATGAAATCGAATAGTACATGTGCACTCAGTTTATGGAAAAGTCTTGAACACTTGATTTTGGGTCTTGAAAATATCTACTATGAACCCTCTTATAATTTGCATCTTCTAGTCTTTATGGTAAATTCTAAACATTTAAGATGAACTCAGTTTTCACATTGGTCTCGGGAACTCCAAATGTTTTGGACTTGGAAGTATTTTCATGAACTTGCAGCTCGAACTTGTAAACCCAATGAGTTGAAGATGATACGAACATCTTGAAATAAATCTTGAAATAAATCTTGAAATGAATCTTGTAAGTCTCCGACAATGAACTCTCTTGATTCTTGAAATAACAAAGAGCTTGAATGTAATTTCTCTTATGTTTGAATCTTGTGGAGCAAAAAGACTAATATCCCTCGGTCTTCAAGCGAATTTAAATTCTTTATCATCTTCAATTCCCTTCAAAGCTTAGAAATATAAAAAGGCACAAGTTGTACAAACTCTCCTTGATTCTCTATACTTCTCACACATGAAATTTGATTCTTAGAATTTGAATAATATCGCGGGAACGTCCCTTGCAATTTGAATCCTATCTTACTCTTGCACGATGAATCACTATGGAACTTAGACTCCACTTCGAGACTTTGTGCAACTTGGCCAATCACTCAGAATCTCATGCTGAGCAAACCTTTGAAAGTGGAGGTACCGTTGGCAATATACCACGCAGCTCCAACCGGTCTTCCAATCGAAGTGCTTGAAAACAAAGTATAGGAAATCTTGGCTCTTCTTAGGGAATCCTCTGAGCAATTCTTGAAGAGAAAGGTTGAGCTTGTGCTAGTTATATGACCCTAAAGGGTGAAGGCATATCCTCTTTACGTCCACATGAATTCCCTACAACTTGCGAAGGATTTGAAACCTGTCAAGCACACATACCCAGCCTTCGTAACCTGCCCTCTCTGTATTAACTTTGTCCTCGTAAAACAAAACGGACAAACTGGTTAAAATGGTTAGTTAAAACGAAAACGAAAAAAAAAACTTATGCACAAGGAGGTGGGATCTTATGGTCAAAAATTAGGGTGTGACAGATGCCCCTATTTAAGTTACTCCTATCCGAAGATATGGAGATTGAAATCTCCGTCTTGACGCGATAGGAGGGACTTAAATACAAACATTGCACGAATTTTTGGCCCTAAGAGGCCACCGAATGCGAATGATATGCAATGATATGAGAATGCAAGACAGAGGGAGGTCCTGTGGAGAAATGACGTCGCAGGGGAGAAACTAATCACGACACACGGGAAAAACATGCTCAACGAGTGAGGCTTCATGGGGAAAGATTGACAATCACGGAGCATCTCCAGATATATCATGGAGAATTTAGTGAGAAAACCACTTGAAGATCCTATTGCATATATCAAATGTAATAAATTTGGGATGTCGGTTGGAGAAGTCTACTGCCGAGATTCTATGTCGAAGCTTGTTGTGATATACTTCTGAAGAAGTCTTCTGGAAATCTAGTGTCAGACTAACCAGGAAATAAAATAGAAATACCTATTGCCGAGGTCTTCTGGGAATCTACTGCCGAGATTAACCAGGAAATAAAATAGAAAATACCTACTGCCGAGGTCTTCTGGGAATCTACTGCCGAGATTAACCAGGAAAAGAAATAGAAATACCTACTACCGAGGTCTTCTGGGAATCTACTGCCGAGATTAACCAGGAAAAAGATAGATGTCTTTGAAATGAACCTCCCTGAGCGTCATGGTATGGGAACCATGAGCTGGTCTCAGTCTCTACTCGAAATGTTAAAGATTTTGGCAGATTGTAGAATCATTGTAATTTGTAATCGTCGTTGTAGATTGTAAATGTAAATGTTGTTGTAAATTGTAGAACTTTGTAGAACTTCTTGGCTGTGAGCCATAATGTATTGTAGAATTTTGTAGATTGTAATTTGTAATGTAATCTGTGGTGGAGATTGTATAGCTTCACCGGGGATCTTCAGGAGAGATGCGAGCCGGTTGAATTGTAAAGTATGTCTTCTTAAATAAAGAGACTAATGTGATAAACTTCTTTGACTTCCCTGGGGAGATGTCACTTGATCACTGGGGATGGACCAACCGTCTTGAGGAGACTGTCATTTGTCGTTTTGAATAAGATCTTGATCAAAACGGTTGCTCAAATAAAGAGGTTGCACACGATCTGGATGTAAATTGTCGAGGAAATCTGATAATGTTGTTGGAGAAGTATCCATCTTCAATAGTTATCTTCATAAAACTCTCCCTGGGGAGTCAAGTGCAAAGTAAATGCATACTTGATCCATGTTCAAAAGTTGGAGATTATCCACAATGTGATTGCCGAGGACCGAAGTTCTATTCAGGAAATAACTGAAGAGAAACTGTCAAGTAAGACTCAACCATTGAGGTATGAACTCAAACGGGATATGCTGAAACAACCGTCTTCCACGAGGATCATACTCTGTGGGGAAATAGAAATATTGTGCTCTTTCTGCTTAGGGATGACAACTCTAATTGGAAGGAGAAGACGCGCCCCACCACTCGGGGATAACCACGATCAAAGCGACAGAACAGCCAAACATAAGGGTGCTAAATGCCCGTTCCATGTTATTGATCTATATGCTATGCGTATGCTATGCTGACAAGACAAACGGACAGAGAAAAAACGGAGATGAAATAAACATCTCGAAGCAAACATCCGACCAATCTTCAAAGATAGAAGTATCATTGGGGATGGGTGGAGAACCAAATACGGGATTACACTCCTGCTTCAGGTATTGAAAACTTCTACTTGGGGAATAGAGAATATTCCACTTGGAGACAGAACACCTTGATCTTGCGTGAAAACTTTATCAGGATGAATTATAGTTGTCTTGTGGAAGATGAGAATAAAGATCTACTAGGAGTGGATCAAACTCATAATTGGAGCAACCATGGATAAAATTAATATCCGCCTTAGTGGAGAGGTTCTAGCTGGGGAAGATCAACGTTGTAGAAGGTCCACTGAGGAGTAAAATACGTCCACTTCACTAGGAGTGTGAAGTTGGTGAAGCAAATCACTGAGGATTCTTGCATTGAGAGGCTTCATCGGAGAAATGTCATGACCACCAGAAGTAAAATTTATCGGGGACATGAGGAAGAATGTTGTAAGAACAAGGTAGTTCTGCCTTGATGAACTGCGTCGTGGTAGTCGTTTGAACAATAGTTTGTTGTGAGCGGATAACATGATCTTCGCTTCTCAGATGCCCCAAGTCAACTGGTTATGAGAAGAACTCGTC